AGCGGCCGGGCCCCGCCGCCGCCGCCCGCCCCGTCGGCCCCCGACCCGCCCCCCGCCCCGCCCGGGCCGCCCGGGGGCTCGGGGGCCGGCCACCTCCCGCCCCCCGGGCGGGCGCATCTCTCGGGATAACAAAGGCGCCCGTGCAGCCATGACGCTCGGCCGCTCCAGGGCCGCGGCGGCGCCCCCGGCCTCCGCGCGCCCGCCCCTGCCGCGGGCGCCGGGGCCGAGGCCGGAGCCTCCGGGCGCCCCGCCGGCGCCCGCCCCCGCCTCCCTGCCGCCGGAGGCCAGCGCCGTGCCAGCCATGTTAGCGGCGGCGGCGGCGCCCGGCGGCGGAGAGCGAGGCGCGGGGCGGCCGGCCGCCGCCAACTCACGGCCCGCCGGGCGCTCCGCGACGGCCATGTTAACGCAGAGCCAGCGGCGTAGCCTGCGGGCCCGCGCGGCGCCGGGCCGAGCCCGGGAGCGAAGTTTGCCCGCGCGGGGGCCCCCGGCCGCGGCGGGCACCGGCCGCCCGCCCCCCAGCGGAGTCCGTCGCGGGCCGGGAAGCTCCCGGCCCCCTTCCCGCTGCCGCCGCCCAGCGTCGGGACGCGCGCCGCCCGAGCCCATGAGCCCACAGCCCGCAGCCGCCCCTCTGCTCGCCCCGCCGCCGCAGCCGCAGCTGCCCGAACATCTGGCCTCGGGGGCCCTGGGTTCCCGGCTGCGGCCCCTGGGGCCGCCACGGGCTGGCGCCCGCCGAGGGGACCGACCCCCGAAAGCAGGGAGCTTGGGGAACGCGTTGGAAAAGTTGAAACACCTGAATTGCTTCTTCCTTCCCGGCCGCCTAGCAGGAGGGAAGGTGGAGGGGGCGGGAAGGGAGCGGGGAGTAGAGGCAGGGGGAGGCAGCGGCAGGGCGCGCTCGCGGCGGCGCGGGCCGGAAAGTTGTGCGGGCGCTGCGGCGGCGGCGGCGGCGGCGGGAGCGGGCGGTGCGAGACGTACCTGTATTGTTCGCTAGTCTGGGCAGCGCAGGGCACGACGCGCGGCTCAGCGCTCCCCAGCCTCGCGCTAGCTGCCTCCACGAGAGCCGCCTGATTGGCCAGCGGGCTCTGCCGTTTAAAACAGCCTCCTCGCCTGGCCATTGGCTGCGGGCCTCATGCATATTAAGCAGGCGCGGACGCCCATTGGGCGCGGCTGCTGGGATCATTCATTCAAACAGAACGACCCGCCGGCGCCGGCTACGGAGGCCAAACAGGGAAAGACCTAGTCTCGCCTGCCCGCCCCGCCCACCTCGCCAGCCCCCTCCGCGGACAGAGCTGGGATCGCCAAGGGCTTTGAAGAGGTGGCCCTGCGATTCCCGGAGGCCTCGGCCTCTGGCGTGGGAAGGTGAAGTCCAGCGCCTTTGCGCTGCCCTCTGCTCCCGCCGCACCGCGGCCTGGGCGCCCCTGGCCTCCAGTCAGCTCCCCTGCCCGGGGAAACACCTCCGGGCCCACCACGGAGGAACGATGGTAGACCACCTCTACCCGGTTCGGCTGCGGCGCCGCGAGAGAAACGCGGCTGCAGCTCGCTCCTCGATGCCTGGCGGAGGGCAGCTGCTTCCTCGCCAAGACCTCGGGATTTGGCCCTCGGATCCCGCTGCCCACCCGAAAGGCACCTGATTCCGCTTCTGCGGATCGTGCTCAACTAGGCTCTTTCCACTAAATGCCAGAAAGTCTTTATTTGCGCCCGAAATTGCGGAACCGACGGGCTAAAAGAGGAAAACAAAATTTGGCAAGAGCAGAGAATTTGTGAGAAATTGTAGTTTTGTGGGCAAAGAATAATACTTTTCTTCTTACCCTCTTCTCTGCCTCGGTTCAGGCCCTCATTCCCTCTACTCTCCTGACACACCCTAGAGCGAAGAATTAAAGCTTCGCGAATGAATGAGCGAATGAATGAATGAATGGGATTTGACTTGATCTCCACTTTGCCACTAGCTGGTGGTATGACCTTGAGCTAGTCACTTCTTTGGGGATTCAGGCAATGTTTTTCAAAGTGTAGGAGCCTCAGTGTCACTTCTGTAAGGGATGTTCTGAAATTAGTGGGGCCTGTGCCTGGATGACTGGCAGGTGTTGCTGGAATTCAGTAAGAGGAAGAAACGGCCAGGGATACTAAATATCCTACATCGCATAGGACAGTCTCACGCAAGGAAGAAATATTCCACTTCAAATACAAGTATCAGCCCTATTTGGAAAGAAAGTATCTGAGGGCCCTTGCCTGGAAAGAATGAAAGGGTGAGAAAAAGAGCAGTTTAAAGTTTGAAGGTTGGAGAAAATAATGCAAAGGAAGAGATGTCATGAGTTTGGTTTTTCTTTTCTTTGAAAGGCCAAGAAATCCAGCTATTTATGAGTCCTATATTCAGAAATAAGCCCCACCAGAACATGAATTTTCCATAAGGCCACCTCATCCATCCCTCTATCCTGTTAGAACCAGCTGAGTGGTTGCCTGCCTTCTGCTTGCATACCACCAGTCATAGGGAGCTTACCATCTTCCTTCATGGCAGTTCCTTCCATCTTCAGCCACCTCTGAGTCTTAAGGTCAACATCGCCTCACAGGGTAATCCCTCACACTTCAGAGAGTTCATGGCAGGCCAGGCCTTTTCTCCAGACAGCCCCTCCCTGCTCCTTCTACAACCAGGTTCCCAGGGCCTGACCTGCCCGAGCCACTCCCTCTTCCCCTGTCTCCACAAGGCCTAGAGGGGAGCAGGGTTTCCACAAGCGATCTGACCAATACCTGCCCTCTGCCAGAGCACCCTAGCCTCTCAAGGTTGCCAGGCCTTTCTAGACCAGGGATCCAAGTTGGGGTCCAGCTACTGCCCAGCAACTGCCCACGGTGGCAAGTGACACTTGGCACAGTTGGCAGGCACCATGGTGGGGGAATCAGAGTGGTGTGCCCTTGGATGGATGACAAGGGTCACACAAGCCCATGCCAACTCACAAGCAGCACATGTATGCTCGTACTCATGTATGGGTACACCCAGGGCATTCCCAGAGACAGCAGCTTCAAGGACAAACCAGAGAAATAAGAGCATCTCCCAACCCAAACTGGCACCCAGATACCACCCTCAAGACCCATGCTTCCCCGCCCCACTGCCCCAAAGCTGCCCATTGATCATCTATTTCTCCCCACATACTTCGAATGATGAAAGGATTGCGCTTACGCGCAGGAAGTATTTCCATCCTTTGCATAGGAAATATTTCGATCTCTGCTCTCGAGAAAGCTACCTCTTATGTGGAGTTGAAACACTTGGTCTGAAGCTAAACTCCAAACTGGTCATTGTCAGAACATGAACTCATAGAACATGACTATGACATCGCTGAGTGACAGAGATCCAAGATGGCTCCCTGCTCCTCCCCATCCCCCCAGCCGCCTACCCACCAATGGAGGTTCCTCACAGCCAGATTTTCTCCTTAATACCCACCTATGTGCAGCAACATGCCTGAGCAGGGCCTGTGGCCCAGTGGGCTCCTGCCTCAGCAGAAACTTTCATGTACATGTATTGCATGTCTACTAATAAGTAACAGAAGGGAGATGAGATGGAGTGGGAGGTAAGGCTGGAAGAAAGGGACAAGATAGAGGCTTTGGGCTGTGTCACTGACTTCCTGGTATGCCTTTTCACCTGTCACCTGAGGGCTCCGAGCTTTAGTGTCCTCTATCAAAGGTGATTCCACCTGCCTCATCCACCCAGACCACTGCCAGTCTTGGTGGTGAGGGAGACTGAATGAAAACAGTCTGCTTGTCACCAAAGGCCAACCAGGAGAGGCCTAAAGACTAGTTTGGAAGGTGTAAAAAAAAAAAAAAAGAAAGAAAGAAAGAAAAGAAAAAGTGACAGAAAGCCAGGGATGCCTGGGCACACCCTGGACTCAGGGAGCCCAAGGCAGGCTGCCTTCTATGCAGCAAAGCTCAATGCCCGTTGGCTTGAGGGTACCTCCAGCAGCAGCACCCAGGTCAGCGTGCGAGGGCTTGAGGGAAGGAAGGATACTCTAGGCCTCTGCCCTGGCCCTACCTGGAAACAGGCAAAGTCCATCCACATAGGAGAACCTCAAACCAGAATCCCTTAAGCTGCTTGGCTGCCTGGAGAAGTTACGAAAACATTAGAAGTAAATAAGAAATGGGATGAAATGTGGTAAATGCTGTTTAAAGAGGTTTTCAGTCCCTGTCAGTTCAAGGCCCCTAAAAGACTAAGGGAAATCCTCATCGTTCAACAAAGATGAAACCCTGGTCCCCTGGCCCACCCCCTACCTACTCCACCCACCCTCCCATAGTCCCCAAAGTCTTCATTTGGGTACCTTGGGCCAGCCCAGCCTCCTTTTAAGAATCATGCCTGGCCAGGCACGGTGGGTCACACCTGTAATCCCAGCACTTTGGGAGGCCGAGGTGGATGGATCACCTGAGGTCAAGAGTTCGAGACCAGCCTGGCCAACATGGCGAAACCCCATCTCTACTAAAAATACAAAAATTAGCTGGGCGTGGTGGCAGGCACCTGTAATCCTGGCTACTCAGGAGGCTGAGGCAGAGAATTGCTTGAACCCAGGAGGCAGAGGTTGCAGTGAGCCAAGATCGCACCACTGCACTCCAGCTTGTATGACAGAGTGAGACTCCATCTTGGGGGGCGGGCGGAAGAATCACACCTATAATCCCAGCACTTTGGGAGGCCAAGGCAGGAGGATCACCTGAGGCCAGGAGTTTGAGACCAGCCTGGGAAACATAGTAAGACCCCCATCTAAAAAAATCAATGGAAGTGTAGCCAGAGTGGATATGGGGGGGGGTAGGGGTGGAATGGGATTGTTGAATAATTTAAAATATATTAAGGGAAGCCAGATGTAGTGGCACCCACTTGTAGTCTCAGCTACTTGAGAGGCTGAAGTGGGAGGACTGGTTGAGCCCAGGAGCTCGAGACCAGCCTGGGCAACACAGTGCGATCTCATCTCAAATATATATCTATATATCTGTGTGTGTGTGTGTATATATATGTATATGTATATATGTATGTTTATATATGTGCATATATTTATATGTGTATATGTATTTTATATATGTATATATATTTGTATATATTTATATATGTGTATATATTTTTTATATATGTATATATATTTGTGTGTGTGTGTGTGTGTGTGTGTATATGTGTGTGTATATATATCCCAGATGCAGTGGCTTACATCTGTAATCCCAGCAGTTTGGGAGGCTGAAGCGGGAGGATCACTTGAGGCCAGGAGTTCCAGACCAGCCTGGGCAATATGGTGAGACCTTGTCTCAAAACAAAGAAATAATCTGGACGAGGTGGTTCATGCCTGTAATCCTAGCACTTTGGGAGGCCGAGGTGGGGAGGCTGAAGGACGAGAATCGCTTGAACCCAGGAGGCGGAGGTTGCAGTGAGTCGAGATCATGCCACTGCACTCCAGCCTGGGGTAGAGTGAGACTCTGTCTCCAAAAACAAACAAGCAAAATAAAACAACAACAACACAACAAAAACCGAAGAAATAAAATAAAATTGTGTATATAAGCATTAAGGGAACTTGCTGTGAAGACCCTACAATGAAACAAGATTTTTCAATATGGCATCTAGGATCCTTTGTAAATTCGGAGTCCTTGTAAGTGCAGATCTTCAGCGATAGGGAGTCTTTACTGGCTTCCAGGCCTTCTCAGGAACCCTGCCGCACACCGCTTAGCCTCCTGTGAACTACTTCACCACCAGGTGCCTCCCCTCGCCCCTCCCTGTTACCACACCCCTGGTCACCTCCTCTCCCCATCTGCTCTTTGGTGGAAATTGCATTCCAGCTCTACTTGTTTTTCCCGTAGAGGGGAAAACCTTCTCAGAGGTGCTTCTCTATTAGAATGGATCCGGAGAGCTGCAGTAGAGCTGCACCGCTGGGAAGACTCTTCCAGGCCCTCCAACCCAGCCTCCTCGTGGCACAGAGGGCCCAGCGGCCTGGAGATTTGCCCAAGTCCCCACATGGGTCAGTGGCTGAGCCAGGGCGGGAACTCTGGTCTCTTGACCTTTACTAAGTGCCACATTTGTCCTCTCTTGATAGCTTAGCTCCACTGTGGGTGCCGCGGCCTTTGGTGAGCTGGCGAGAGCAGCCAGCGCCCTCCAGAAGAGGTTTTCTGGTTCCAAACAGCGGCGACAGAGACCCGCGGGGAACCCGGCGGCTGAAACCGGCCTCCACTACCTCTCCTGCCCACATCGCACAGTTCAGGCCGCGGGTGCCTAGAGCCCCGACGGCGCCTCGGGCCCCAGGCGGCGCGCCCACCACCACGCTGGGGTACCTTTTTTTTTTTTTTTTTGAGACGGAGTCTTGCGTCTGTCACCCAGGCTGGAGTGCACATGGGGCGATCCGGCTCGTTGCAACCTCCACCTCCCAGTTCAAGCGATTCTCCTGCCTCAGCTCTCGAGTAGCCACCACGTCCAGCTAATTGTTTGTATTTTTAGTAGAGACAGGATTTCACCATGTTGACCAGGCTGGTTTGAACTCCTGGCCTCGTGAATCCGCCCGCCTCGGCCCTCAAAGCGCTGGATTAAGGTGGAGCCACCGCGCCCGGCCTAATTTTTGTATTTTAGTAGAGACGGAGTTTCGCCATGTTGGCCAGGCTGGTCTCGAACTCCGACTCAGGTGATCCACCACTTCGTGCCTTCTAAAAAGTGGGCAGGATTACAGGCGTGAGCCCGGGCGCCGGACCGGGCGTCTGCATTTAACCAGACTGGCATTGCAATACCGTTGCCACTCCCGACTTCCTCACCCTCCACAGACCCAAAGGGCGCCGGGACAGCGTGCGAAAGGAGATCTGGGTGCGGCGGCTCCTCCACAGCACGCTCTCCCAGGTGGGACAAGACAGGCCGCCGAGTCAGCAAGCAGAAAGGAGCGCGCGGAAGCCAGGGCTGATCAGAATGACGCAGCCTCTTTAGCACGCACCAACGCCCACCCAAACGTTCCCTGCTCGGGGCTCCTTTCATCCATTGAGATGAATAAGCGGGAAAGTGGGCTCGGACCAAGGCAGGCGATTTCGACTTCTTTACTCTCCCACGCGCTCCAGTGCCTTCGTGGGAAAACAATTACGCTATCTACGAAAGCCCATCAAAGGGCCCAGTGACGTTTCCACGGCCGCCGGGGCTGTGGGAAGATGGACGAGTGAAACTGAAGGGCCCTTGACCTTCTAGCACCGGTCTCCCCGCAAGAGAGGCAGGAAAGGCAGCAGACAGGGGGGGGACGCTCCAATGGATATTCTCCCACCGGCCACCGGCATTACAGGAACAGACCTGCCTGGTCCCGCCTGAGAGCTTCGACCATGCTGCGCGGGCTTAACCGCAGTCTACCGATTCTCACCTCAAGCCCCATCCGCTCCATCCAGAAGGCCTGCACACTGCAGCAGGCTGGTAGTCTCCACCCTCCACCCAAACACAAAGTTTCCCACTGGCTAGTGACTGAGAGCCTTCTGCTGTCCTTCCCCCGTGTAATGTGTAATCGTAAAGAGCGTCAGCCCTATTTCTCTTTACCTGAACCCGAAAGGATTCCCGCGGTGGGGACAGAAGGAGTGAAGCCACTCTAAATGGGATTTGCAGTTGCCATTTTTTATTTATTTAATTTATTTATTTATTTAGTTTTTGGAGACAGAGTTCTCGGGCTCTGCTTTGCCCACGGCGGCAGTGCAATAGCAGCAATCTTTGCTCACTGCAACCTCCGCCTCCCGAATTCAGGCGATTCTCCTGTCTCAGCCTCCCAAGTAGCTGAGATTATGAAAGTGTGCCACCACGCCTGGCTAATTTTTATATTTTCAGTAGAGGCAGGGTTTCTCCACATTGACCAGGCTGGTCTCGAACTCCTGACCTCAAGTGATTCGCCTGCCTCGGCTTCCCAAAGTGGTGGGATTACAGGCATGAGCCACCGCGCCCGGACTATTTTTTGTTTTTGAGATGGAGTTTCACTCTTGTTGCCCAGGCTGGAGTGCAATGGTATGATCTTGGCTCACTTCAACCTCTTGCTTCCTGGGTTCAAGCGATTCTCCTGCCTCAGCCTCCTGGGTAGCTGGGACTACAGGCACCTGCCACCATGCCCAGTTCATTTCCTATTTTTCGG